GGGGATTTGACATATCTCTAAAATTGTGGTTGAAGCTTATATTGATGCAAATTCTGATTGTGACGGGGATTGTATAGCATTAGAGTAGATGGTTGTGGATGGTTCAGTAGTAGCATTGGGTGTAGAAACAATGTGGATGCTAAATCTGGCATCACATCCATCTACACTTGGGCATATGCTACTATCAATCCAAGGGATCTCATCACTAGTGGATTTCATGGTGGTGGACTTTCAGCAAATGAACTTACACTCCCTCACCAATCTTATCATCTTGGGATGCATATGGCACCTCCAAGCCAATATTGAGACATACTGAAAGAAGGGGATGATGCAAATTAATGACAAGATCACCACCAATAAGCTCTACAATGCTCATAGTTGTTTTTTGATGGAGAAGATTTCTACTCCTACTTCAAAGCTTGAGCCCCAAGTGGACTGCTTTTCCAACTAAATTGGGCTTTTATCTTCCTTGAGCTCCTCAACACTCCATCACTGCCAGAAAGCACTGGGTGTAGAAATAATGTGGATGCTATTTCTGGCAATAGATATGGGGAACACCATTCCTTAATACCCCTTCTTCGATCCCCATAAAGTCCCTCTCCATCTTTAGCAATGCTCACCAACATTACCACTGGTATAGGTTCTAAAGGTCTATCCACTAAGTCCCACTAACTTTTAGTACTTCCTCACTATATAACTATGCCTTTAGTCCTTAAGTAAAAGAACCATTCTTCTTCCTTTTTATAGTCCAAGACTTTAGAATGACATTTCAAAACATCGTGGCCCAACACAAACTTCATAAGTACATCCCCCATCTTTTGCCACTAGGGTTCCCCAATTATGTGGTTAGCTTGAGGTTCCAATAAGCCCCATAAAGTATCTAAGTAGGTAATGCCACCCACACTTGGATTGGGAGCCTTCGACTCAATGGTTATATCATCACTCACCATGTAAATGTAATTTTCCTTAGTCACACTAGCCTTTCCTAGCCAAATTAGTTCCATTGGAGTCCTCTCTTTATTATCCCATAGAGACTTACTAAACTTCCCAGGTTTTGGGAGACGATCACTTTAGGCTTTCACCCTTGGACTTGGATTTAAACTCGGAATCCAAATTAGACTTGGATCCAGACTTTGTTTTAGTCTTGGTTTTGGTCTTAGCTTTTATTTTGAACTCCATTTTAGACTTCATCTTGGACTCTTTTTTAGACTCCTTCTCGGACTCTTACTCAAGCTTGGTCCCAACACTTTTATATGTCATAACACTTGTGATGTGTTGGTCTCGTCCCTTTCTAGAAATTTGCTTATTGATCATTTTGTGTTCATTCCTTGAGCATTCTTTTGGGAGTTCCATTCTCACTTACAACTTTCCAAGTAGAAATTTTTAGTCCAAACATGTTACACTTGTTAAATTTCCCCTTTGGCCATTACCACATAACACTCTTTCAGCCCCACTTTGGGATTTAAGGATTTATATCTTACAAGTAAGTTCCTTTTCCTTGCTCATTGATGGAGTGGTTTTGATTGTGCATTGTTAGAGCTACTATTAATATCCATCTAGAAGTGGCTGAAGTGTGGAGTTATTAATAAATGGATGCTTTTAGACATGTTATTTCTTGAACACATTGGCTCCTAAGAGGTTAAAGTTCTAGATGGAGGCAATAATGCTATTCCATCGAGTGTGTGTTTGCCTTGCAATGGGTACACCATTAATAGAGTTGTTTTGATGCTATCTATATTTATTGAAGTCTTAGCATTTTAAGCTCTTGAAGAATGATAATTTGTTGTTGGTGCCGTTGCAAGAGAATTTGTTATTGACACTCAATGAGGTCTTTATATTAGTGAAATTTTGTAATGATAGTTTCCAACACTGATGGTATTCTCTCTTCCATGACTTTAGGAGTAGGTTAGCAAAAAATCATTGTGATTGGATGCTTCAAGAGGTGGCTAGATTTATATTAGACAACCTAAGAGACAAGGCAAAATTCCTTCTCAACTTCCTTTATATACTCAAAAGCTAGACAACACTTGATATTCTTACACTTAATGTTTGTGTTGGATGGGTAGCTTCAATCCTTGGACAAAGGCAGTAACCACAATCTACTTTGTGAGGTTTGGGATTTGGGTGAGGCATAGCTTTCAATGTTTCTTGAACTACTAGATATACTTAATAATAGACTCATATAGTGCTTGGTAGAAAGAAAAGAGCTCAGTTTGAAACTATTGAAGACCCTTCAATAAAACAAAATGATTTTGCTTGCCTACATCCATTGTGACATTATAAATTCCACTATATGACTTTATGTTGATGAAACTCTAAGTAGGAAGAGGTTTTATCTCAAAGTTTTACCTTTTTCACTATTTCCTGATGTAAGAAATAGTGTAGTTATTAAAAAAACATTTTAGGGCAATATAAGGGTTTAATAACTTGCCCAACAGCATTTGGCGGTAAAAAAAAGGAAAAAAATTTGAATATTAAATTTATCTTTTTTTTTTAAATACTATAAGCCAATAGATACTAAATATTTTTAGTTCATACAATTAAATATCTTGTTCTAGTTTTTAATAGGAAAAATATATTGGACACTATTATTAATTTATCTTAGCTTATTTATTCAAGAGATATAAATATAAGATCAAGAAAACCTATGATAGAAACTCAGAAAGGAAATTATAAATGACCAAAAGTTAGTTATAAACTCAGTTTCTATCTTTATCTTTCTATACGTGAAAAAACCAATGTACAACTATATTAAATATATTCTTGTTCAACAAATGCCAGAGTTAATAGTTCTTTAGTCTTGTTTTTAGTAATCTAAAGATTACTTTAGATATTTAGTTATATACATTAAGTTTGTGATTGTCTTTTCTTAAAGATACTAAGAATCTATCACAATAAGGAGGAGTTGCTGAACTTTCTAGGCTGCCGGATCCAGCCAATCGCAGCCGTTCAATGGGGGGTAACTGTAAAGGGGTTATTTTCTTAACCACGTGTTAGTGAATAATCGCGCTGATGTTTACTCCCGGCCAATAGGAGGCGGCCAAGCTGCATGTGGCGGGAGAAGAAGGTGTGGCAACACGTGGCACATGCAAAGTGTTGACTGGAACTGTGTCTTTCCTGAAATTGCTATTGTCGTCCAAACTTACATACAGATTTTTCTTGAGATCTTTTGAATTTTAAATTTTCCTGCAGAAATCGCCACCATCACTCCCGACATGGAGCACCACTGCTTTAGAGAAAGGGCAGGAGAGCGATGCACTCAAGTAAATGGCCAGTGAAGCTGCGGCTCTTGAATCTCCCTGACAAAGATCCCACTCAATCGCCACAGCAATCCCCGCGGGAACAACCACCAGCAGCAGATCCGGAGCTTGATGGGATGCCTTTCTACAGTCTCGCCACCATCGCTCCTGGCATTCTCCACCACTGCTTGAGGGAAAGGGTGTAGCACTAGAGGAGAGCGAGTAAATGGCCAGTGAAGCTGCGGCTCCCAGTCCCTGCCAACAGCAGATTCGGAGCCACGGGCTCTAGATCCACTCCCGAGCCCCCAGCGGCAGCAACGGCACCTCTGCCAACGACAACAGAAGTGAGCGTGGCCACTGGAGAGGAGCTCTCATACGTTTTTCTTCTTTGTAATGATTATTAATGATGTATTGATCGGGCAATTACAGTAATGACATGGGCATGAAACTTACATTTTAAACATGAGGTTAACGGTTACCATTAAACACCTTTATGAATATTTATTTTTAAGTGAACATTTTTAATGCTTTACTAATAAAATAATCAACTTTATCTAAACTTATTCTGTTTTATAAATTATTATAATCTTTGAATATTTTAGGTCACAATGAAATTTTATAATTTAAGTTAACAGTATTTGTAAATATAATAAGAAAACTGCATTCTAGGATAATCTTATTTTGTAAGAATAAACTAAAATATATTCAATAGCCTATTTAAATATCACTATAACATATGAAACCCAACACCAAATAATAGTATATCAAATGTAGGTTGACTTCGTTTTATGGATGTAGTTTTATAAATGTGTAGGATCATGAGCAAAATTTCAAGTGTTAATGCATCAACAATAGGAGTACATATTATATTTTTTTATGTGGCTCTAGCTACTTACAATCTAACTCATTCAGAAAAACTAAAATAATGTATGCAATACTTGATTAAAGTAGTAATATTTTAAATTCTTTTTCCTATAATACTATGGAATTACAATTTCTATAGCATATATATTTATAAAATATTTTGTTAGTAATTATTTTCTTGACTGGATATGGGTCATAATATATTAATGTAAACTTATTGTTTAAGTAAAAAGCATAATTAAGTAATATCTTGCTAATAAAAATGGGTAATAATTATTGTTAGTAATTATTCTCTTCTGTTTGATAAAATCTTAATATAAGTTTATCCGAACTAGAAATAAAATTTACATATAACATATTTTTAATAATAGAAATTTCATTTTTACTTTTTCTGGGTCGGATATTTTTCCAAATAATAATTTGTATCTAATATTTTTATTAATGAATATTTATTCTTACTTGCCTAGAAATATATTTTGTTGTAAATATTTATATTATTAAGTTTACAAGAATTGATTTTTATATTCACCCAATTCTTCTTTCAAAGTGGAATACAATATTTGTTTTTGTGATACTATTCCAATTTCGTTTTTAATATAAAAAAAATATTTTGCTAACTAGGCAGCATATGCTGGGCAAATGCTAGTGTTTAGTAAGTAAAAGTGTTTTGTTAACTAAACTTTAATCTAATGTCTTGACAAAAAACACGCTTATAGGATCAGCTACACGACGTTTGCTCCTCCGGATTTAGGAGACGAGCTCGGACACGTCCACTTTCTTCCGCTCCTTGGATGGCCGCCTGGCCGCCTAACATTTAAACACCTAAAGGGCAAAAGGCAAATGCCTATGCCATTTTTCTCGGGACCATCAATGTTAGATCGGATGAATCACACGAAACAATCGCCAAATTTGCAGTTGATTTCGTTTGTCTTCGACTTTAACAAGAGAATCTCCCGAGCGTGCTTCATTCTCGAAAGTCCCTGTACACCACCGTGCTACTTTCTCATCGCTAAAACCTCAAAAACATTTGCCAAGTTTTCTCAGCTTCCAGCTTCCATAGCCACCCCTTGCGAAAAATGCTGCTTCACTGCCTCGAGATCCAGCGCTCTCCCAGCTGCCCGGAACCCCCTCCTTAGAACTTTGTACGTGACTTCGTTTGGAGCACAGCCTCTCTTCATCATCTCCTGGAAAACATCCCAGGCCGTGTCGACCATGGAAGAATCGATGAGACCCGTGATGAGAGCGCTGTAAGCCTGGACGTCGGGATTCACTCCCAGCTTCACCATATCCTCCACAAGCTTCTTCGCCTCTGGGATCCTCCCAGCTTTCGCCAGAGAGTAGATGAGAGAGGTGTAAGTGTGGCACTCCGGAATGATACCCCTGTCGATCATCTCCTGAAACTGCGAGAAGGCCTCGCTCACCCTGCCTGCCTTCCCGAGACCGTCGATCAAAATGGTGTAACTCACCAGCGTTGGAGGAACCTCGTCTTTCTCCAGCATCTCCTTGAACAAGGAGAAAGCGCGATCGGTCTTGCCATCTTTGAAGAGCCCGTGCATCAAAACGTTGAAAGTCACGGCGTTGGGCTTGATCCCACTCGCGACCATCCTGTCGTAAACACCAAAGGCCTGATCGACCCTCTCTAGCTTGACGTAGCCGTCCATGAGCGAGTTGTAAGCAAAGCAGTCGGGGCCGACACCCGACTTAGCCATGAGCTCCAAGATCTCGCCTGCGGCCTCCACGTTTCCAATCTTCGAGAAGTTCTGGATGATAGTCCCGTACGTGAGAGCGTCGGGAGCGCAGCCTTTCTCGATCATGCTGTCAAAGACGTGCCGGGCCTCCGGAACTCTGCCGGTGCTGAAGAGCAAGTCGATGAGACTGGTGTAGAGGATAACATCCGGTGCACACCCTCTGGCTGTCATCTCCGTCAAGACTTGGTACGCTTCTTCGGCCCTTCCCTTCGACAAGTAATAGCTGAGTAGCGAGGTGAAGATGAAGAGCCCCGGCTCACACCCCCTCTCTCGCATTTGCGCGATCACCTCCTTGGCTTCGTTGATCATGTCGAGCTTGCAAAACCCATGCACGATCGATCCATACGTCACAGCCGTCGGCTCGGGTCCCTTGGTGAGCATCACGTCGAGTAGCTTCCGAGCCTCGTCCATCTTGCTGGCCTTGGAAAAGCCATCGATCAAAGTCGTGTAGGTGATGGTGTCCGGGACGCAGCCTTTCTGGACCATCTGCTCGAAAACTTTGCAAGCGTCGGGGAGCATCTGTGCCTTGCAAAGCCCATCGATGACAACCGTGTACGTTGTTCTCGTCGGGACGCACGACGATCCACTCATATCCTCAAAGTTCTTGAGACCATCTTCGATCCTGCCAGCTTTAAGGAGTCCATCGATCACTGCGGTGTACGCCACCACGTTTGGAGAACAGCCCGCGGTCTTGAGCTTCTCGAAGAGCTCGCAGGCCTCGTCGATCCTCTTGGAGTCTGCCAGCCCCTTGATCACGGTGGTGTAAGAGATCACATCCAGGCTCGCTTTTGGAGTGACTGCGCGAAAGTAGCTAAGAGCGTCGTCCACTTGATCGCTGTCACACAGCGCCTTGAGGATGATCCCGTGAGTCACAGCGTTCTTGGCGATGGAGCGCCTCTCCATCTCTTTGAGCAAGGCAAAGACCTCGGGGAATTTCTTCTCAAGGCAGAAGCCGCGGATCAGCGTGTTGTACGTGTAGGCGTCGGGATTCTCCATCTTCTCCTTGAAAATCTCCATCGCTTCCTTGACGCGGCGGCCGCGAACCATGGCGAGAAGGAGAGCGTTGTACGTGAATCGCGTGTGCGTGAATCCTTTCCTGGTCGCGGCCCAGTCGAAGAAGGGCTTGGCGTGATCGGTGCGCTCCAGCCTGCGAAGGACATCGCTGAATGTGTCGTGGGAGAGCTTGCGATGCTTGTTGCCCAGCAATTCGCTCACATTCTCACCTGGCTTGGCGCTCTCGAGAATGCAGAGCAGCGATTCGACCTGCCTGGCGTCGGCATTGGGGAGCTTGCAGGCGGAGCGATAGATCCAGCGCCTCTGGATCGCCGCTCTCCACAAGAACATCCCTCTTAGCTAGAACCCTAAATCTCGCATTTTTTAAATTTAGGGTTCTTCGTGACACTCAAGAACCCTAATTCTTTGTGCTCCTCGCTATGATCGAATGCGGCTATGGCGTCGTCGATCAGCAAGGGATCGACGACGCCATACGAGAGAATGGGGAGAAACGGATTGCGCGCGAGCGCTCCCGTCGCCTTGCAAGCGCTCAAGGTATGCAGCAGCTCCAGGGATTTCGAATCGGGCAGGAGAATTCACGCGCAGCTCGTCCAAAGCGGTGACGAATCCGGCATTTTCGTGGCCAACACTCTGATCGACATGTACTGCAAGTGTGGGAGGATAAGCGATGCTCTCCGGATCTTCGAGGGGATGGAGCAGCACACAGTAGTGACCTGGACAGCATTGATCCTGGGATTCACACAGGACGGGCAAGGAGAGATAGCTCTCGAGATCTTCCTGGAGATGCAAGAGCAAGGCTGCGACCCAAATCGCGTGACTTTCATCGCAGCTCTCAAGGCCTGCGCGGCGCTGGGATCGAGCGACGAGAGAAGGAAGAATCGAGCACTTTATCTTCGCAAGGGGAGAAGAATCCACTCGCAAGCGAAGAAGAACAGTGTGGAGAACGATCCTTCGCTATCAAACACGCTGGTGGACATGTATGGGAAATGCGGGGACTTGATGGAGGCACGGAGAGTTTTCGACAAGATGCTACGTCGATCGGTGGTGTCTTGGAGCGCCATAATCCTTGGATACGCCGAGAACGACGAGCCGGAGATAGCTCTCGAGCTCTTCCAGCGCATGCAAGACGAAGAACACTGTGCTCCGAATCGCGTAACGTTTCTAGCAGCGCTCAAGGCCGCCGCAAACTTGGCTTCCACCGAGGAAGGCAAACAGCTCGACGGGCGATTCGTGAAGATCAAGTGCCTCGAGAGGATCCGAGAGCTCCACTCTCGAGCAGCGAAGACTCTGGAGAGCTTGGACACGGCCTTGCTCAACGCGCTGGTGGATGCGTATGGGAAGTGTGGAGCCGTGGTGGACGCTCGCAAAGTCTTCGATAGCTTGGCTCGACCAACGGTGGTGTCGTGGAGCGCGATCATTCACGGCTACGCTCACAGTGGTGATCCTCAGCTGGCTCTGGAGCTCTTCTCGCGGATGCAACGCGAACGCTGCGCTCCAAACCGTGCCACCTTCCTCGCGGCGCTCAAGGCCTGTGGAAGCCTCGCAGCTCTCGACGCTGGAAGGAAGATCGAGGCACAGATCCACAGCGCCAGGCTCCAGGGAGATCCACTCGTGGCGACTTCGCTGGTGGACTTCTACGGCAAGTGTGGAAGTATGGAGGACGCTCAGCGAGTCTTTGACGACTCCATCGCTGCGAGCAAAGATCTCGTTGCTTGGGACGCGCTGATAGCAGGATATAGTTGGCAGGGACGCTGCGACCAAGTTTTCTCCTTGCTCGAGAAGATGGAGCGAGAGGCCCGGCTCAAACCCGACGCTGTGACGTTCCTCTCCATCCTCAACGCTTGCATCCACGCCGGGCTCGTCGAGAAGGGAGAGGACTACTTCCACGCCATGCTTCCGAAGTATGGCATCGCTCCCAGCATCAAGCACTACACTTGCATGGTGGATCTCCTCGGCCGGGCCAACCGGTTGGACGAAGCAGTGACAATGGTTTTGACGATGCCGTTCGAGCCGGACTTGCGGATCTGGATGGCTGTTCTTCGAGCCAGTAAAGACGTGGAGATTGGAAAGCTCGCGTTTCAGTCCATTCTCGGCCTCGATGAGAGAAACATGGCAGCTTACTCGATGATGAGCAATGTCTACGCCGTCGCCGGGATGCATGCCGAGAGTGCGAAGCTGGTCCAAGCCATTCGAGCCGGTGCTACAGCTCCAGGATCGTCCAGGCATCCCGGGAAGAGCTGGTGGACTGATCCGGCCACTGGCTTCGTGCATACTTTCGTCGCTGGGGAGTCCAGTGACGAGCTAGAGCTGGTGCTGGACAAAGTCTCGGCTGGAGGACGCGAAAGGAGCAGTCTTGACGGGGAGTCTGTGCTGTGCGGTCACAGTGGCAATCTCGCCATCGCTTGCGGGGTCTTGAGCACGCCGCCTGGAGCGAGTTTGCGGGTGGTGAGCGACTTCTGGATTTGTAGAGAGTGCCACAGAGTCGCTGCGATGCTGTCCAAGGTTGAGCAGCGGAAGATCATCTGTCGAGACTACTCCAGCCGGTTCCATGTCTTCGAAGATGGTAGATGCTCCTGCAGTGAGAGCTGGACTTGTTAAAACTCCGCGAGCTGCGATGGAAACTCTAGCGTCGACTCCAGCACCAAGCTGTGCTTCATCCTCACCATCTGCTTGGAAATCCTGGATCGAAGTTTTGCGATGAACTCATGGTCTATCGTGGAGTGTAGATGGGTCGAGCATCGGCAGAGGGCTGTATCTTCCTTGTATACTTCAGCAGCATCGACTCCACAGTTTGTCCTGGGATCCTCACGTCCCTGAAACACCAAAGTTAAGCTCGACAAGCAAACAACAAAGCACACAAGTTACCTCAAGTAAGGCTCGAGATCGTTCCACTCCCACTTCGATCTTTCCTTGAACAAGGCTGCAAATCGAGCATCCGGTTGCGTAGGCAGAGAGGACGAGCTAAAGCGGTGCAGCCACGAGTCGGACCCAAGCCTGGTAACCAGCGCCTCACCCCGGAGCATTTCCAGCTCTCCTTTCATTCCCGGCGGCAGTGCTCTTTGCCACGCTTCAAGGAACTCGTTCGTCTTCCATCTCCCTGTGCTCGACAAGAGCTCCCTCGCGTAGTGCAAACAGATCCGTTTCTCGTCCAGCTTCCACGAAGAGGACGATGGCTCCTCCACACCAAAAGTTGCTACGCAGTGCCGGACTAGCTGAGCCGGGTATCCATCGCCCTCGAGCACAGCCACCAATTCTTCCAGCGGCAGCAAGCTCAAACTCCAGTCCTGTTGGATGGCAGTCACCAGGATCATCTCTAGCAGTCCCTTCGTGTACTTCGGATCCACAGTCCTCCAAAAACCACCTATTTCCGCTGCAGCAAGAGCTCTAAGCCCATCCTTGAGCTGCTCTTCGCTTGCCTGGACGCTGTCCAGCAAATCTTCCCACGAGTAAAGACCATCTACGGTCTCGTTCTCGCTGTCTTCCGTGTAAGGCCTAGAACCGACGAGTACCTTGAGTTGATCTATTCTGGGAGCTATCTCCACAAGCTCCATATGTCCTCCCGCCGTGGCAATCACGTGAAGAGCGCCGCCACTTCCACCATCGCCAGCTTCTCCTGGAGGAACCAGCAGCATTGTGTTGGAAGTCGAGACGAACTTTAGAGCGTATGTCGTCCTGGAAGTGCAAAGAACCGCCTCCTCCTCCACACCTCCTTTTATGCTCAGCCTGTAAAAACCAAGAGCAAGAACAGAGAAAGATAGAGTGAACTTCTTGCGACGAAGAAAACAGAGAGAAAGATCTGTGTACCTGGATTGAAGAAGCTCTTGCACGACGCTTTCATCAACCTCTAGTAGCTTCAAATCGCTTGCCTTTTCGAAATGCTGGCTGTAGCGAACGGTGGTAGTGGATCCTAGCGGCAAGCCTGGCGCCTCCGCCTCCATTGAAGAAAGAAATCCCTTTAGGGCTGCTAAAACCCATCACCCAGTAGCATTTCTTTCACCACTTCAGTCCTCCGTTGTAGCGTCTTTACTCTTCTCTGTAGCCTCGGCAGTCTCTAGCGGCTGCACGAATCCTTTCTCGCACGCTTCGTCAAAGAATGCCTTGGCCTCCTCCATCCTCTGTGCGTCGTAGAGCCCCTGGATGATCGTCGTGTAAGTCGCAGCGTTGGGCTTGCAGCCATAAGAGCTGAGCAGCTTGAACAGCTCCAAGGCATCGTCCAGACGGTTTGCTCTCGAGAATCCAGCGACGAGGATGTTGTAAGTCTGGATGTCCGGGAAGTTGTCACACTCCACCATCTGGAGCAGCAGCTTGAGACCATCGTCCACTCTCCCCAGCTTGCAGTAGCCATCCATGAGACTGTTGTAAGCCACTCGACTGGTCGCAACTTTCTTGGCCACCACCGTTTGATAGATCTCGTTGGCCTCGTCCACTTTCCCGGCCTTGCACAGAGCAAAGATGAGGGAGTCTTGGACCTCGAGGTACGGCTCGTAGCCACGCTCGATCATCTCGCGGTAGAGCTCGCAGGCTTCGTCCAGCTTCCCGTGGTTGGAGAGAGCCTCGATGAGAGTCATGAACGTCACATAGTCGCCAAGGCAGCCTGACTTACGCATCCTCTCGAAGAGCTCGTAAGCCTCGTCGACTCTGCCCAGCTTGCACAGCGGATCGATCAGGACGAAGTAGGCAGCAGCGTCGGGAATGCATCCGGCCGCCAGCATCTCCTCCAAGATCTTAAACCCCGTATCCAGGTCGCCAGCTTTGCAGTAGCCATGAATCACTGACGTGTAGAGGAAGACGTCGGGCCGGAAGCGCTTGAGAGCCTGGTTGAGCAGCATGTGCCCGACTTGAGGCTGCCCGGCCTTGCAAAACCCGTGGATGAGAGTCGTGAAGGCGATCACGTCGGGCTCGCAGCCATTGTCTATCATACTGTTGAAGAACTTGTAAGCCTCGTCCATCTTATCGATCGAAGCCAGGCCGCTGATAACCGTGTTGTAACTCACGATGGTCGGTTCGCATCCCATCGAAGGCATCTCCAGGAAGAGCTCGATCGCCTTGTCGATCTTCCTGGCCTTGCAGAGACCATTTAGAACGATGTTGCAGTTGACAACGTCCGGCATCAACCCCGTCGTATGCATCTCCTTCAAACAATCCAGCGCCTCCTCCATTCTCTGGGCCTTGCTCAAGCCATCGATCACTGTCCCATACGTGAACTTATTCGGAGCACACGTCTTGGCCATCTCTCGAAAATGCTCCACCCCTTCGCTCACTCTCCCGGCTCGGAACAGCGCCAGGAGCAAATTGTTGTGAGCTCGGACGTGCGCTGCGATGCCACTGTCCATCATCTCCTTGACAAGAACCAGCGCCTGGTCGATCTCCTTGGCGTTGCAAAAACCAGCCACCAGCGTCGAGTACGTGAAAGAATCGGGGCTACACTGCGCCAGGAACTCGGCCTTGAAGATCGCGTAGGCCTCGAAGTGCTTGCTATCGCGCACCATGGCGTGGAGGAGGCAATTCCACGAGTAAGTTACGTGGTGGAAGCCGTGCTGCCGCGACGCCCACCTAAAGAAAAAGAGCGCCGCATCAGCGTCCCTTAACTCGTTTAAAACTCTCCCTACCGTGGTGGGCGTGAGCTTGTAGCCCGCAGGCTTGGACGAGAGGAGGACGCCCAGCTCCGATTCCATCTCCGGCCCTGGCCGATTGCTCTCGAGGAGATTCACCACGGCGTCCACGTAGCCGTCGTCGCCGGGCCTTCCGTAGCGGCTCGCCGCGCGGGGCGACACCGGCGCGGACTTTGGATTGGCGCCGCAGCCGCGTGGAGCTGTGGAGGAGACGTACCGCGCGGCCGAGGGAGATCGATCGGCAGCGCCATGGCGGCGGAGGAGCAGGAGGAGGAGGCGTCTTGTTCGCGAGAATGTAGCCATAAACCCTAAATCTTAGTAAACCTAAAAGAAAGTATTATTTTTTGCCCCTTTAATGTGCTTTCATAAACCCTAATCTTGTTAAACCTTATTACCCTCTTTACCCCTTTAATGTGAAATTACAGGTTCTTGATGCTTTCACTCAAAAATTCGCGCACCAGGTCTATTCGGAGCATCCAGTCCAGTTCCACTACACCGACCAAGTGCATTGCACATCCCTCTAGAAATTCCATAGAGCCTTTAAAAACCCAGGGCATCTAAACTTTGTCCAAAGAAATTTCGGCCATTTCGCTCGTGAAAATGCCGGAAGAATCCGACCAGATGCTCACTGTCTTGTTCCGCGATCTGAATCCAACTCCCTCGGCCCACTCCAATCCTCTCACCGCCCCTCTCCTGGAATGCTTCGATTTCAGCGCGATTTGTAAGTTCCCTCTCGAGAAATCGATCAAATTCTACCTCGTAGCCTTTAGATCCGTGAGGAAAGCCACGGCAGACGATACGCTGCTCTATAAGCTCGATGCCGCCGCACAAGCGGAAGCTCTAGAATCTGGAGGCCTTCTCAGGGTAATCAAACTTCTCTAGATCCAGAGATTTCTAGCACAAAATTGATGGAGATTTCTTTCTTTCGCAGTACTGGTATGGTCGATTAAACGCACAGAAGGAATGCCTTGCGATGTGCGTATGGTCATCGAGAGACGCCGCGATTCGAGCCGGCACATTGCCGGCACACATCCAAGCCGCGTCCGTAGCGCACAGGATGTACGATGCGTACACTTTGGAGAGATACTGGCTCGAACTCTCGCCGTCTGGATCCCCAGATCGGCGCCTCACCGTCACGCTAAATATGATTAGCCAAACCAAACCGTAGTGATTTTTTAACGGTAAGTAATCCGGCCCCGAGCGTCCGTTTTTACGTGCGTGCTTCGGAAATGATCTGCCATGCTGAGGTGGGCAGAGGACAGCCCTTGGATTTTTATAGGGCGATTTATTGTCAGGGGATCTTGTTTGTTACAATCGTTTATTTTTAAAAATCGTGCCGGGAATGATCATGCCAATCAGACGACCGCTAACGCGTAGCTCGTGCAAGCCGTTGGATCGGCTTGGGATCCGACGGCTGTCATGTTTCTTGTTCGTCCAGGCGATAGAGCAGGGAATTGGAAGCGCTGGGCTTGTGCGCCTGGGAAATCGACGATCGATCGATCGATGGAGGACAATGTGATTCAATGTTTCAGAGGCGACGAGCTTCTTCTGGCGCCAGGGATGATCCCAGCGGCCGCCCTGGATAGCTTTCAGGTAAAGCACCTCGCGCATTGGTCTACCACAGAGCCGTCGCTCGTCCCGATCTTTGTCAAGTCCGATCCAATCCTCCATCCCTCAAGCTGGCCGCCGCTGGAAATCGTGGAAGAATCGCAGGCGGGGGATGTGTTCTACGCGAATCCACTGGTGGACTGCCATGGCGTAGGTTTTGATTTCCATCCAGCGGACAGGCGCCAGGGATTGAGCTGGGCGATGCAAAGTCCGCTGGCCGATGAGATTCTTCTAAGATGCGAGGCACTACCCGATCTGGAAGCAGACATCCCGGAAGCGCGATTTGTCAAGAACGAGCCGCTGCGCTTTGCCGGATTCCTGGACGATGTCACTACCAGCTCGTCGGGAAGCGTTGTCGAAGACTGCTGCGATTTCGATCAGATAATGGCGCCGGTAGCGCCGCAGCCCCAGATTTTTCACTCTCTCGGCGGATCATCGGCTTGTCCAAGCTCATGGTTTGGCAATGATCAGAATCCTCGCTCGTCTGGGAACGAAGATCTGGAAGCCGCGCTTGGAAATGGGACCAGTTACTATGAGCCACCAAAGAAGCTGCTAAAGACGTCGCGGATTGAAGCTCGGGAGTGGGATGATCACGATCAGGGGATCAAGAGAAAGAACAAGGAAGAAGAAGAAGAACAAGAGGAAGAACTGGATCAGGAGAGCGATCTACATCCAGCCGAGAAGAAAAGGTCATGCCAGAGATCCTCAAGGCAGCAGCAGCAGAGGGAGCCATGGAGCTCGATCGATCCACAGAGCGTGGCGGCGAGGCGCAGGAGGAAGAGGATCAGCGAGCGCGTCCGGTGGCTGGAGAAGCTCATCCCCGGCGGGAGCAAGATGGACACGGCGAGCATGCTCGAGGAGGCGATCCGCTACGTCAAGTTCCTTCAGCTCCAGGTGGAGCTCCTGGAAATGATCGGCGGCGGTGGCGAAGATCACCACCGCCCGCCCAACTCGCCCCTCGTCCTGTCTGAAGAGCTCCAGGAGGTTCTCTTCCGGAAGAGGTGCTGTGTCGCGGCGATCAAACAGTCAACGTAAAAAGTCAAAGGCCCCGGGAGAGTCAAGTCAACCCCTGTGAGAGAGTTCTTTTTTGTTTACTGTCCTTTGTTCTTCTCGGCTTCCAATCGTTCCTTGGCTCTTTGGACCTTGGATTGAATGTAGAAGCTCCCGATCTTCGCGTTCCTCTCAAATAAGTTCTCATACTTCTGCGAAAATTCCAGCGTTGTCTAAGAGTTGATGATCTAACCCAAGAAAAAATCGTGTCACCTTCAAGATTTCTTCCCACGGAGTTTTCTCGCTGACGCCCAAAATCATCCTGGCTTCGTGCGGCGACATTTTCTTGGTCGATTTCTCGGCGATATCTTGGAGCGTCTCCTGAGCCACGCCCGTTTTGGATGCATCTACAACACAGCATCCAAGTGAAAGGCTCCACAATCGTTTTTTAAAGGAAAAATCGCGGAGACAGCTAAAAACTCACTGATCAGCGCTTGCTTGTACGCTTGAGACACCGCGCGCAGCAAAATCCCCGACCCAATCACGATCAAATTCGCGATAACTTTCGCGATCTGGAAGCACGATCTGTTAGTAGCGGCCGCATTCTCCCTCCCGGATTGATCTACACGCACCTGACCCACCATCTAGCCTCAAGAACCCTAATGTGCTTCTTGCACACGTGGCACAATCAGCGCATGCCACGTAAAAAGCTGGTTTTACCGCCACGTGTAGGGCAAAAGGCATATGCTGACGGGGTTATTCTTTTTTTCTCTTCTTCGTGTTCTTCCTTCTCTCTTTGGGGAAGAATGCCTAGCCAGATGATCCTCGAGCGATCATTCTTCTCCCATGGGAGCGATAGGGTTTTCGTTTTCTCGGTGAAGCGCCACGCGCCGCCGGGCCAATCTTCGTTCAAATACAGGATTCAGGGCAAAGGCGGAGCTCCGCACAAGAAATCCAAGGGGGATGGGAGCTCTCATCCAAATGCAGCAGCCAAGGAGAGCTCGCTGGAGGGAATGGCAGCGGCGGCCGTGGCGGCGGCCCAAGAAGCAGCGGAGGAGGCGAGCTGGATGGCTCTGGACGATGACGATTCGTGTGATCAGGCCGATGAGCTCAAGAAATTCAAGGGGCTTGTTCTCGATCTCTCCTACAGGTAACTTGTTCGTCTAGAAATCTTCGCATTGGAATGACACTGACAGATATTTTGGGATAATGTAGACCGATTAACATTGTGGGATGGAAGCGCGCATTATGCCTTGAGATCCTTGAGAAGGTTAGCCTTATCATAAAATTTGGTTTGATATATCCATAGCTTCCTAGGCGGAAGTCCTCGTTTACTACGATCAACTTGTTTGTTCTCCGAGCAGAGTGTTCTTCATTCCTGCCGTTTTAAAGGTACGAATGCATGGAATTTCTTCGCACTTGTTAAGCTCTAAGTTTGTTTCCACAGATGGTCGATTTCGTATACTCGCCGAAGCCCAAGACCTTACGGCTGAGCTTGAGTAGAACCAACGTTTTCATCCGAGACAAATTCAAATGCCAGTAAGATCCATGGAAAAAAAGAGATTTCAAGGCTGTCGCTAACTTAAACCAGCCGCTTGGCATTCATAGGTACTGCGACCACGACAGAGACTTGACAATCGATCATGTTCTTCCGGTTTCCAAAGGCGGCGGCCATAGCTGGGACAATCTGGTAAAAGCCCATTCGATTAAGAAGCTTCTCTCGATCATCAAAGTTTTCTCTCATCTCGCAGGTAACAGCGTGTAAGCGCTGCAATGGCAAGAAGGGAAGCAGATTACTAGAGGACGTGGAGATGAAGTTGGACAAGGCTCCAAAGGTGAGGGAGATCGACGATCAATTCGACCATTGCGTTCTTAATCCCTTTGTCCTGGAATTTCATAGGAACCGAATGTCATGGATAGCAGAGAGCTACCGCCCAGCTACCGGGTCTTCAAGAACATAGTCCTCAACACCAAAGTACCATCGGAATGGATAGACTACTTACCGCAACGTCCAACCAAATTCGACTATCATAGACGAGGATGATCTAATCTCCAAAACCATGTAAAACTGCCAAACCATGTAAATCTAATGTAAGGTTTAGTCAACGCCTAAAAAGGGACGGAATATACACTCCAGATAAAAGATTCAGAACATTCTGTCTGTGTTAAAGCATATACTTGTTAAACCCTATATTGCCCAAACCTAATTAAAACTTACCGAAGCAGAGTTTGCTTTTCTACCGAAGCTGGGCCGAACCTGACAGCTGCCTACCGAGGCAAATCAGCCACCACCGGAGCTACTCTATCTTGTTTCCTTGCGATGGTTTTCATTGTTTTCTCATATCTTGCTCTCGCTTTTCTCCATTTTTTTTCTCTCTACGCTTTCCTCGTTACACGCCTTTGCGCGATGCGATGCTGATCTCGAGCTTTTCCAGTCAATGCGAAGAAGGAATCCAAATCCAAATCGCGGCGGCTTGAATCGCAGCTGCCGAGCTTTTCTCCCATCGCCGGGATCCGAGTGAGCGGGATCGAGAATCATCGCTCGGGATTGCAGGGAAGAACATTCGTACGAGGTATGGAGGAAAAAAAAAGAAAGAAAGAAAGGAGAAGCACCAAAAAAAAAGAGTCCCTATTGCTTGCTTGCCTGCTTTTTCCTCGATTGGATTCCTCTCTTGGTGGTTCTTCCCATAGGGTTCTTGCGTTGCGCGCATTCGAATTGCTAACGAGCTCTCTCTCATTGTTTCTGGATTGACAGAGATGCCTCCAGCGAGGAAGAAAGCCAAAAAAGTGGACGCGGCGGAGCCATCCAGCAGCGGCAGCGCAGATCCACCGGCACAGAAAAAGCGAGGCCGGCCTCGCAAGATCGTCGTCAAGGAGGAGGAGGAGGAGGATCAGCAGGAATACAAGAGCGCCTCCATCGCCGCCGAGCAAGAGGCATTGAAGCGAGCCAAGCTCCCAGCGATTCAAGGATCGTCGGAGATGATAGGCGAGCCGGATGGGGGAAAAATTCTCTCGGAGCCCGCCAGCGCCATCAAAGCTCCCACCGCTGCTGCCGCTGCCGCCAAGAGGGATGGGCGACGTCGCAAGAGCGAGCCTCACAGAGCTCCCGGTGTTCTCATCGAAGGCTTTTTGTGAGCTCCATCGCCAACTAGGGAGAAGATGAAGATCACTGCAAAGACTCCATTGACACGAGATCGAGATCGATCAAAGGTTAGGCCAAGCTCCACTGCGATTCTATTCTTTCTTCGCTTTTTTTTTTTCTTCGTTGTTCTTCGTCGCCTTGTTCCAGATCGTCGTTGATTCATTCATTCGTTTTTATCTCTTGGATTTTTTCTGGGATATCATCGCTGTTTGCTCGAAGTGTTCTAGCAGTTCTAAGTAGCTGTGGAATTTTATTTTTTTTTCCTCTCTTTTTTTCTAAGACAGTCCAAGCAAAATCCCAAACTTTTGTCCTCGTGTTCTTCAGCCGCGCCGTGTTTTTCCGTTGCGAGATTTTCCTCTTCTTCGCGTTTCCTGGATTTGTTTAGCGTAAAAAAAACTGTCGGTGGTGGCTGATCAAGTGTTTGATCGATTGGAAGGAAAAAAAAAAGAGAGAGGAAAGTGGGAAATTTTGACTTCCTCCATGATTTTTATCGCTTGATCTTTTCTTACGCCTTGGTAGTGGTGGTGGCGTTCTTCCTTCTTCTCTGATTGATCTGGGCGTGCGTGCGTGCGTGTGTAGTATATCTCCTCCTCCTTCCTCCCCCCCTTTATTCCTTCTTCTTCTTCATGGTCTTTTTTCTTCCTCCCTGGAATCTACGTAGTACTTAAGACGAGTGAGAGAGAGAGAGAGAGAAGACAATAACCAATGCTTTCTTTGTGATAAATGGCATGGACAGAGCACACAGGCTAGTAGCAGCAGTACGTGGAAGGCTTTTAGAAAAAATATCATTCTTTTTTCACCCCATCTTTCCACCACCACTGATCAGGTGCCCCTATCAATCAATCAAACGCGAAATTTGATCTCGCTAGACCTACTCCATCCAATCTAAGCTAAGTCGTCCCTCGCAGAAAGCGCTACATTCTTCTTCCTTTATTTCACTGCCTAGTAGAGAACAGTCCCCTTGCCCTAGCTCCTCGATCGAGCGATTGTTTCTCAGTAGAGGAGCTCCGATCGCGTTGCTCGCCGGCGCCTAGGCCGGCAGCAGAGATAGCACAGGCAGAGGCAGCACATCGAGCACCAGAAGAAAATTCCCCTCATCGCGATCGCGCTATCTTGCCCTAATCCCTACGCCCAAATTTATTCCCCCCTTTTTGACCTAGAACTTGTTCTTTCCGCGATCGACAATGCGGCATCGGCGATGCCGCTTCTCCGGTAAGAAATCGTTGCGATGGACGCCACAGCTGTGACTCGCGCGATCGCGTGAGAGGAATCGGCGAGAATTTCTGGGAATGGCGAGCGTTTTGCCGCTGGGGCAGATCCTCTGTGGCCGCGAGATCAGTGCTGGCAATATCGGCGCTCGAGGACTGCCTTTGCGGGTGAGGGTGAGTTTCATCGGCAGCTCCAGGAGGAAATCCAGCAAGTATGACCACTATTTCGCTTCTTCCAATGTGGATCTCGAGTCGGCCGAGGAGAAGATCCAGCGCCTTACCGCCACCGTCGAGAGGCTCAAGGCACGCATTGCGGAGCTGGAGGGTTTGGTCCCAAGCACAAGATCTCGCGTGGAAGAGAGCATGGAGCAGCAGCCAACTCCAAAGCAACTTCTAAAGAGCATCACGATGGTATCGCAAACTTTTAGAGTGCTTTCGTCGCGCGGTTAACACTTGTTTGCTTTTGTTTAGAACGTACCAGTGTTGAAGCCGGAGCCATCGCAAAAACTGGGAGAAATCGATCGACTACCGAGTATCGTCTGGCCGTCCCCGAGCGATGAGATACCGCTTTGGAACCGAGGTCGACTGAGGCATGAAGTAGCAGGGCTTGGGTCGACAAAGGACGTAGAAAACGATCGAAATCCACTCTATATCATCCATGTCACGGCGGAGATGGTGCCTCTAGCAAAGGTTGGAGGTTTGGCGGACGTGGTTACTGGTTTGAGCCGGGCATGCATTGACAGGGGACACAAAGTGGAGATCATGATTCCTTTCTACGAGTGCATACCAGGTGAACAGATCAAAGGCTTCAGTCCTGGTGAATCCTACTCGTCTTATCACAACGGGAACTGGATCTCGGTTCAAGTTTACCGAGGCAAGATCGCTGGAGTGTCGGTCTTACTTGTCCAGCCGAAGAACCAGTTTTTCAAGGGGTCAAGTATCTATGGTGGATCTTACGACGAACTTGAAGCGTATTTGTTTTTCAGCCGTGCTTGCTTGGAGTGGATGCAGGTTTGCCGTGCATTTTTTGATCGTTTTCGTTTTTTCCTTCTTTTTTCAAGTTGTTTGTTCGCAGGTGACAAACAATCACCCGGATATCATCCACGCTCATGAGTGGCATACTGGAGCTGTATCGATGCTTTACTGGGATATGTATCATCACTTGTCCTTGAAGGTAATAGCTCATGATCGCTCGAATAGATTTGACACTCGACTTTTACGGCAGAAACCAAGACTTGTGCTTACTATTCACAACATGGAGCATTACGGAGAATGCAGGTGCGATCCCTTCAGTTTGTTTCATTTACTTACGCTTTATACTGTTCAGGATGGAACAGCTCAACATGTGCGGTCTAGAAGGTTCAACTTATCGCACATCTGATAAAGTAGAAGTATCTTGTGTTGTTTAGACCGTTTTATTGATTCTTATTTTCTATTGCAGGCTGTCGATGATCGAACAATCGGACACAATCCTGAGAGGCTCAGCTTGCTCAAGGGAGGGATTGTGTACAGCAATGCTGTAACGTAAGTTTCTTTAGCTGCTCGGCAATCTTAACTGCTCGGCTAATGGCAGAACTGTGTCACCGTCTTATGTCAATGAGACGCTTTGCTCGGGATGGCTGTCAAGCACTTTGATGAAGCACCGTTCCAAGTAATTGTACTCGACCTGGTAAAACCTACAGAGCAACACATCGCAAACTTTAATTCTTTGTTACAGATATTTTGGGATCCTGAACGGGATCGACACAGAGCTATGGAACCCGGAGACAGATCCTTACCTGCCCGTGGGATTTTCAGGTGACGAGTTTCTTTACAGTTCCATGTATTGACGTCCTAGTTGCTTCAGCAACGGATTTAATGGGAAAACAAGCTTGTAAGCAGTATCTACAGAGAGGCCTTGGGCTTGAACCGGACGAGTTGCCCACTCAAAGGAAGACATACCAAGAATGCAAGCGTTCGCCTTTGATCGTGTGCATCACGAGATTGGTGGCTCAGAAAGGGATTCATCTTATACGGCATGCCATGTATCACGTAGATCAAATGGTAAGATCCGGTTAGTGTGCATGATCTCATAGCTTTTACTACGCAGTTTGTATCTTATGACGTCACAATGTTTACAGGATGGCCAATTCGTGCTTCTAGGCACGTCACGCGATCCTCGTGTGAAGGGAGAATTCGAGCACCACGCTACAAAGGTGTGTGCTTTTACATCTAGCGTCGTTTCTCTAACTTTTACATTTTTGCAGTTCGGGGATAGTAAGAAGGTGCGATTGCTGCTGACATACAGGTGAAGCGAAAATTGGTGAGAGTTGGTTGTAGATTTGTGACAAAGCTGTTTGCTTTGTAGTGAGGAGTTAGCGCATTTGCTATATGCAGCAGCGGATATCGTACTGGTGCCATCCATGTTTGAGCCTTGTGGCTTGACTCAGATGATTGGGATGCGATATGGAGCGGTAAAAAAACACAAAAAGTGAAGCGAAACCAAAGCACTGACTCTTTGTTTTTCTTTTTCTTTTTTCTTTGTTGCAGATTCCTGTTGTCCGAAAGACGGGTGGCTTGGCCGATACTGTTTTCGACGTGGAGCATTCGAAAGCGATTGACGCCAATGGGTATGTCTTTTCAATGCTCGATGTCGCTTACACTGGGGAATTCACAGGTTTGTTTTCGAAGGAATCGACGAGAGGTCGCTCAACAGTGCCTTGGATCGTGCTCTGCAACAGTTTTGCGAGAGTAAGCTTGTGTTCTTAATACTCAAAGATCTAAACTTTAGTTTCTTTTGGTTTCTTTTCTTCAGAGCCCCACCACTGGCAGGCTTTGGTTTCGAAAGTTATGCTGCTAGACAACAGCTGGAACAAATCCGCTAGGGAGTACGTCAGTGTTTACAACTCTGTGCGTGTCTAAGCTAAGCGAGATAAAGGGAATGAAAGTATGGAATAATTATAAACTGTGACATGATCGTAACTCCATGACTCTAGGAGCAAATCATGGAAGTTTAAAAAACTACCAAACTACCACTTTCTTCGAGTCAAATCTCCCTACACAGAAAAAAAAAAAGAGAGGTTTTTAGCAATGCTAAGAACTCGCAATGGCATCGGGAGCTGCAGTGGAGTGGACGAATCCATCGTGCAGGCATTCTTCCAAGACAATCACTACGCCAGCAGCAACGCCAACAATCCCGGCGGTAGCAGCAGCAGCAGGGACGGCGGCGGCAAATGCCATGGAAGAAATCCGCTAAGCGCGCTCGCTGGATTCATCACTTGCCTCCACAACTCGAGCGAAACCAGCTCGAGCAGGAAGGCCTGGGAGAAGCGCAAGGCGGTGGCGCTGCTGGAGCTCAGCAAGCAGCAGCAGGCGGCGCTGGCGGACAAGCAGGACACGATCGACATGCTCGAGTGGCAGCTGGAGCAGCTTCAGATGGCTACGTACGCGCTGGGAGTCTCCAACGACGAGGATGAGCTCCTCAAGCAAGCCCAAGGCGGCCAGGAGGAGAGCAGCGATCCAGCACCGCCAACACCGCCGCCACCACCATCAGCGCCGCCGCAAGCGCCGCCAGCTATCACCTCCGCCGCCGCCGCCACCCAAACTTACGCGCCGCTGGTGCTGCTCCTGGAGATGGCCGTGGTCCGGGCTCGCCTCTCGCTGCGCTACTTCTGCAACCTCTTCCTCAAGCAGATGGAGGCGTCGGGCTACCCGGTGTGCCGCGCGCTGGCGGAGATCGAGCCGGGCACCGCCTTCCTCCGCAAGGAGCACGCCGCCTACGTGCTCGACTCCAAGATCAACAAGGCCTTCTTCCACTGCTTCGAGAACGAGAGCTTCGACGGGGCCGGGATCACGCAGATCCTCGACCCGGCCAAGCGCGCCGCCACCAAGCTCCACGAGTACCGCCGGATGGCGGGGCTGGACATCGGCGACGCCGTGAACAGCAAGAGCGCCTGGTTTGATCCCGAGTTCCTGCGCTTCTGCCAGCACAAGACGCGCGAGATGTGGGGCGAGTTTGGATTCAGCGTCGCGTTCCGGAGCGTGGAGGAGCGGGACTCGTTCACGGCGGCGTTTTTGGACGTGGCCAAGGCGGTGTGGCTGCTGCACAGGCTCGCGTTCGCGGTGAATCCGGCCGTGGGGATCATCCGGGTGGCGAAAGGGACCGATATGGATGCGTCGTACGTGGAGGCGGTGGCGGCGCCCGAGAGGCCGTGTAGCGTCTGCGGCAAGGCCAAGGTGGTGGAGTTTATGGTGATGCCGGGCTTCCGGACGAACAACAAGGTGATCAAGTGCCAGGTCTATCCCCACGTCCAGTGCAAGTGATAGATAATTGGTTTTCTAACTTCCTTTCCTCTAGTTTGTATCCTATTCTCTGCAACGTTTGATATCGTTCCAAGAAAGCCCAACTCTCTAGAGCAGACCACAATGCCCTTGAAAATCTCATAGCCCTGCTAGTGAATGGTTGCAAAGAGCAAGAAATTGTTGTGGCTGAAGTAGAAGCCTAATCAAAGAGCTGTTTGACCACCTTCTCGGATTTCAGATGCGCAATCCAACAATATGCAAGTACATTTAAGAATTTATTGAAATAAATTAGTATTGTAAGGTTCAAGCACAATTTTGATTTTTGGACATTCAACAACTTACCAAAATATTTTAAGTTTTTACTATAAAAAATTTATACCTTATAACTTTTATAATATAACTAATTTTATTATCTTTTTCCCATTAAATTAATATTATTATAGAACATTTGCATTGTGTTACTTGGCAAGAAAAATTAAGTATAAACAACTTTAATTATTACTATTATTAATAATTATAATTTTACAATAAAAAAGTATTTACATTATAAAAGGTGAATTCTTATGATTATTATTAGGATACCGCCTTTTTCTGGACAACCATCACTTTTGTTTTATTTGTATGACATTTAAAGATTGACAAAGCAATAGTGTTAGACTGTAGAATTAATAACTATAAGTGGGAAAGATGATATTACATAGCATTGTAGTTATTGAAGAGCACCAATGCCAAAATGCAATAAAGAAATTTTTAAAATACTTATTAAATAAAATAAAATATATAATTTTTAAAAATAATTTTAACATTTATAATATTTTTAAATAAAAATATAAATATTCACTTAGTATGAATGATGTATACAATAGAAGCATATTTAATATAAATAATTAAACACTAAAAATTAACTTGGTACTGGATATTTAACTTGTAAAGTAATATGTACAATATTTTTTATAGTATTTATTTATAGTGTCATTATTGAAGTTAGTAAAATTATTAAAATTAGCAATTTAATCTAAAATCTTCTTGTTTATATTGTTTGGTTTGCTTAAACAAAGCTGTAAAGGTTTTTATATGTAAAATATACTTGAATATCCTAGAATATTCTACCATCTATTTAGATTAATTATGTATTTATAATTTATAAATAATTTTATCATTTATAAACTTTTCTAAACACTTCCTAGTATATTTTAGTTTATTGTACCATATAATATAACAATAACTTGTGTTTATAAATTAGAAACTTCCATTTGATCAATTTAATTAATAATGTAGGACACATGGTTTTCACCCTTTATCCTATGCTGTTTTATTATAGAATATCAACAAAGTAGAACTTAAACCCTCTATGTGCCATATGTCATATGCCACATGCCACATATCCCAAGGACAATAGAGTGGAACCTAAGTTTCAGGACTTAGGGTTATTGAACAAAGGAATGAAGCTAAATTCCCAAGTATAGAGCTAAAAAGTGAAAGAACCAAAGCATAAAGCAACTCTTGAGTGTATAACCTAAGGAGCAAAGGGACAAAAACACAAAGAGACTTGAAACAATCCTAAAATATCCAACATCCTAATGCTAGAACTAAGATGCAAAACAGAGCTAAATGAAATTTACCACTATTTTAATATATTAGTGGCCTAATGTCAAGATATGGGCACTCCACCAACTAATATGGTATGAAATTAACATAGTATGATAAGCACAAGATGGATTGATAAAGGGTCTAGAAATGCTAATTTTTTGTTGTTGTCATGATAGTAAAGAAAAAATATTTGAAAGGACAGCCAATAGGTAACTTTTGATACTTGAAGTCATATTCGCAACAAATAATAAGAATTTACTCTGGTCATAAATTTATATTTAATTTGAATTTAATAAAAAATTAAAATTAGAATATCCTAATAAAGTTTTATAAATATATAAAATAATTGTTACATGTTGCATACAGTAATGTTTTTTTACTTAATAGTATTGCTAATTTAAAATTATTAAATTACCATTAAAATATTTGTAATTTACAGGAATAGAATACTAAAAGTTTTAAATAATTTTATAACTGGATAATTGGATTGGATTATGATAGCCCACACATATATTTTGCTATCAAAATATTATCTTTCTAGAGTTCAGATTATTATAAATAATCTCTATAACCTTAAACGTTTTTACATTTTAATATTTACTTTCTTTAGAAAAATGCTCAAAAATAAATAAAATTCCAGAATTCTTTAAGTTATGCATCCCACAAAGATGATCAATTACCATGTTATAATCCCTGTTTTTTTTTTTTAAAAATAAGTTACATTATACCAAAAAGTATTGAATGATATAGTGCATCTAATTTGCCAAGAAGGCATAATTATAATATAGAGTAACTATTAGAAATATTCAAATGGTTAATCAAATGAACAAGACTATAGATGAAACATAAATTTATTTGTAAATAGTGGAGCTAAATGTATTTTAAATCCATTGTCATGAACAATAATTTTTTGTACCTCATTTAATCAAAATGTAAGAACAAAAATAGATTTCTTAATAAATAAATTGCAAATTTTTATTTTACACATATAAAATATATATACATCATAAGTAAATGTTTCATACCCTTGATATGTTTATTCTTCTCTTCTAAATTCCAAAATTTTTCTTTTGACCTTTGTCCTGAATATTTGCTTAAAAAAAGTTAATTTTTATTTTTCTATACAAAGGATTGCTGCAAAGCAATATAATTCTTTTAGTTACTACTATAAACTTAAGCGGTCAAACTGGAGACGAAAGCCCTTCTCCACCGCCTTGAACGTGAATTCGTTCGGCGTGTGGCCATTCCGCATCATCTCTTGCAGCAAATCCCATGCAGCATCCACATCCGAGCGGCACAAAATCTGCACAAGAGTTCCATAAGTGTGATCATCTGGAAAAATCCCTGCTTTCAGCATCTCCTCCAGCAGCTCCATCGCTCTCGAAACTTTCCCGGCGCCAGCCAGAGTCTGGATCAAGCTGGTGTACGTGAAGCAGTCCGGAATCACTCCATTGTCTATCATCTCGGCCAGGAGATCGAATGCTCGCTCCTCCATGCCCACCTTCCCCAGCCCGTGAATGATCATGCTGTAAGTCACGATGCTCGGCTCCAGTTCTTCCTTTCTCCGCTGCATCTCACGCAGGAGCTCCAGGGCCTCGTCCATCTTCTTCAGCTTGCACAGCGCGTTGATCACGGTGTTGTAAGTCACAGTGCTGGGAAGAATACCGTCCTTGAGGATCCTCTGGTAGAGCTCGAGGGCTTCTTCGAGCCTGCTGGACTTGACGAAGCCGTCCATGATCATCGTGTAAATGTACCTGTTGGGCTTCACTGCCGCCTTGTCCATGAGCCGGAGGACGTGAGTCGCCGCTGCCATGGATCCCTCCTTGCAGAAATTGTCGATGATGATCCCGTAAGTGTGCATGTCGGGCTTGCAGCCTTTCTCCACCATCGTCTCGAAAACCTTCTCGGCTTCCTCCCTCCTGCCGATGCTGTAGAGAGCTTCGATGAACATCGTGTAGGAGATGGTGTCGGGAGCACAGTCTCTGTCCGCCATCTCCTCCATCACCGCGAAAGCCTCCTCCACCTTTCCCATGCCGATGTAGCCAGTGACGATGAAACTGTAAGTGTCCACTCGAGGCCTCAGCCTTCTTCGTCTCATCTCCTGGATCGTCTTTACAGCCTCTTGAATCCTCCCACACTTGCAAAGCCCAGCGACGATCGAGGTGTAAGCCACTGCGGTCGGCGGAGGACCCCTGGCGATCATCAAGTCGACAAGCTTTCGTGCCTCGTCCACTCTCCCGGCCTTGGACAGCCCGTCGATCAAACTCGAGTAAGCGATGATGTCCGGCTTGTGTCCCTTCCGGATCATCTCCTCGAAGACGTCGCAGGCTCTCTCCACCTTGTGAGCCTTGCACAAGCCATCGACGAGAACAGTGTAAGTCAACAAAGTTGGCTCACATTTGCTCGCCACCATCTTCTCGTAGTACTCCAGTCCCGCATCGTAGTTCCCAGCCTTGAAGAGGCCGTCCACAATCGCAGTGTAAGTCACCGAGTCCGGAGCTTCAATCGCCTCGAAGAGCCTGCAAGCCTCCTCGGTCCGCTTCGCTGCTGCAAGCCCGCGGATTAGAATCCCATACGAGACCGAATCCAAGCTCGACTTTGGAGACACCGAGTTGAAGTAGCTTACCGCCTTGTCGAGGTCGCGTCGAGCACAGAGAGCGCTGAGAATGACCCCGTGCGTGGCACCATTGCTGGTTATCCCGCGGGCTTTCATCTCCCGGAGCAAAGCATTCACCACCTCGAAGTCGTCCCTCGCGGCGAATCCTCTAAGCAGTATGTTGAACGAGGAGACGTTGGGCTCCGAGATGCTGCTCTGGAAGAACCCGAGAGCATCCGAGAGCTGGCCTCCACGAACCAGCGCGAGCAGAAGAGAGTTGCGAGTGAAGAGGGTGTGCGAGAAGCCCGGCCTCGTAGCAGCCCAGTGATAGAAGCCGAGAGCGTTGCAAGTGCGCCGGAGCCTGCCGAGGACACCACCGAATGTATCTCTCGAGAGCTTGGTGCTCACTGCGGCGTGGGATCTCTCGAGCAGCGCTTGGACGTCGCTAGCCTTGTCCTCCAGGATGGCGAGCAGCGATTCTACGTGGCGGGTGTCTTCGTGCTCGAAAGTGGGAGCTGAGACCCTATAGCGCCTCTGGATCCTCCACACCACTGGGAGAAATCGCTGCTTTCTCATCGTTTGCAACCAATCTTGGAGCACAGCCCGCGGATTTGAGCTTCTGGCAATGCTTTTGGAGCCCGCCAAGCCCCTTGATCACGGTAGAGAAGCTCGCCTTTGGAGTGACTCGAGTGACTGCACGAAAGTAGTGATCGCTGTGGCCTTGAGAATGATCCCATGAGTCACAGCGCGCATGGCGGGATTGCTGCTGTACATTCTTTCCTTGAAAATCGCCCACATCCTCACCTGGCTTAGCGCTTTCGAGCGATTCTGGCCAAGATCAATAGCCAAAATCCTAAAACCCTAAATCTCAAATGTTAGGGTTCTTATTTTCCAGTTGCCACATCAGCACGATCTAGCCGTCCATTAAAAATATAAAGCTCAGGTATATTCTGGCTTTAAACCCTTAAACCCTAAGTTCCTCTATTTGTGTAACCTAGGGCAGGGCGTGCGTGCGCTGGGGTTTTGCGATGGAGCAGCTGGAGCTCCTGCTTTTCCAGTTCTTGATGCCCGACAATGACGCTCGCAAGAATGCGGAGGAACAAATCAAGCATCTCGCCAGGGATCCGGAGCTCGTTCCCGCGCTACTGCACCAGATCCGCAACGCCAGGTCTGCGAATGTGCGCCAGCTCGCGGCGGTACTGCTGCGCAAGAAGATCGTCGGCCTGTGGATGAAGCTCAATCCGCAGCTCCACGCCTCGCTCAAGAATTTGCTGCTGGAGAGCATCACACTCGACAACAGGTAGGAAATTTTGGTCGAAAGGCTTTAGCTTTCTCTCAATTCGTTTCCGTAGCCTCGCCGTGCGACGTGCCAGTGCTGATGTGGTGAGCGCTTTGGCGAAACAAGACGTTCCAGCAGGAAATTGGCCAGAGCTACTGCCTTTCCTCTTTCAATGCAGCCAGAGTTTGCAAGAAGATCATCGCGAGGTGGGAAGCCAAATGTAGCTCGTTGCTGTGCTGTGACAATGTTTCGTCTTTCTTCTTGGCATGTTTATATCAGGTGGCGCTTGTGCTTTTCAGTTCTCTCACGGAAACCATTGGAGAGATTCTCAGGCCACATTTCGCGACTTTGCATGCCATCTTTCTCAATGGATTGAGAGACCAGAGCGCCAAAGTCAGAGTTGCGGCTCTCAAGTATGCATACCCCCTTTGCTCGCAGCGGTTTCTATAAAAAAACTCATTGTCTTTTCGTGCATAGGGCAGGCGGAACGCTCGTAGGATACATCGAGAGCGAGGATGAAGTGGTGAGCTTGCGTTTTCACTTCGAGCTGGCAAGCATGTAACGTTTTAGTTCATGGACAGAGGATGATGCGCGAGCTCATTGCGCCTATATTGGATGTGTCTCGCTACTGTCTAGAGACGGGGAGTGAGGATGTCGCTGTTCTCGCTTTTGAGATTTTTGACGAGCTTATTGAATCCCCGGTCTCTCTGCTCGGGCAGTCCATTCCTGTGATCGTCCATTTCGCACTGGAGGTAGCCTTGAACAGCAAGTGGGAGCAAAGCACTCGTTATCAGGTACGGGTGTGCATTTTCGATGGCTGTTCTCGGATTAAGGCTGATCCTTCCAACAGGCTTTGCAGACTATATCGTGGCTTGCGAAGTATAAGCCGAAGACTCTGGTGAAACATAAGCTAGTTCCGGCTATCATCTCATCCATGTGTCAGATTCTTTCGGAGGAAGACTTTGAGCTGGACGAATACTCTGTTTCTGCAGACCGCGCTGCTGCCGAAGTCCTAGACACTATGGCCCTGCACCTGATCAACAAGCACGTCTTCCCGCACGTGTTCTCGTTTGCGCTGTCGAACTTTCAGCGGTCTGAGTATAGCATCCGCGAAGCAGCAGTGATGTCTCTGGGGATAATAGCCGAAGGCTGCTACGAGATCATGAGAAGCAACTTAACTGACATCCTGAACTTGGTGCTACAAGCATTTGAGGATCAAGAGAAAGCTGTACGAGGAGCTGCGGGCTTTACGATTGGTCAATTTGCGGAGCACTTGCAGCCAGAGATTGTTCTGCATTACGAAAGAGTTCTTCCTTGCATCTTCAAAGTTTTGACAGATCCAAATGCTGAAGTTCAGGTAGGCTGCTTGTCATCCTTTTTACGAGTTTTTTTTCACACCGTTATGCAGGAGAAGGCGTACTACGCGCTTGCTGCTTTCTGTGAGCATTTGGGATCGGAAATTCTGCCATTCTTGCCGGTTTTGATGGAGAGATTGGTGGCCACGCTGCAGTGTAGCCGGAGAGATTTGCAAGAAACTTGCATGGTATGGAAGTGCTACTACCTTGTCTTAAATGATAGCCTTACCTCTTTTGCTTGCAGTCAGCCATATGCTCGACAGCAGCAGCAGCGCAGTCTGCATTCATTCCATATGCTCCAGGAGTTCTCGAGCTGATGAAAAGCTTTCTTGTTCTGACTGCTGACGAAGATTTACCCGCTCGCGCCAGGGCTACGGAGCTGGTCGGTATCATTGGCACTGCGGTTGGCAGGCAATATATTGAGCCCGTTCTTCCCTCCTTTGTCGAGGCAGCCATTTCTGTAAGTATTTGGAAGTCTCTCCTTCGTCTCATCTCCTCCCGTATGCAGGGCTTCTCTCTGGACTACACTGAGCTTCGTGAGTACAGCCATGGCTTCTTCAGTTCGGTGGCTGAAATCCTTGAAGGAGATTTAGAACAGGTTGAACACTTTCTTTGAGATATCTATCCATCACTTGACTGACTATACCAAATGGTTGCAGTATCTTCCGCGTTTAGTGCCCTTAGCCTATGCAACTTGTGATCTTGACGATGGCACCACGGTGGATTTTGAGGTAGAAAACGAAGACGGAGAGTTTGGTGATGTATCGTCCGACGACGGCGACGATAACAACCAAAATTTACGCAATGTCAGTATCCGGACTGGTGTATTGGACGAGAAAGCTGCGGCCACTCAGGCCTTGGGAGCATTTGCTCTGCATTCCAAAGGCGCATTCATGCCGTATCCTTTTGCTTGTATCTTTTCATTCTTGTGACCTTGACAAGAATGACCCGTAGCTATCTTGAGGCGACATTGAAGATTCTGAGAAAGCACAGCATGTATTTCCACGAGGATGTCCGCTTGCAAGCTTTCATTGCGCTCCAACGTAAGTTTTGCGCTCCTGAGTATTCTTAATTCTTGTAATTTTCTTTTCTCAAACAGATATGCTCACGGCAACACAAGCTACCTTTCCAAACACCGATGTAAGCCGCTCTTGGTGAGATCAGTGACGTTCTAACTTTGCTTTCTTTTTCAGACAATCTCAGCTCAAGCAAAACATGTTCTTGGTATGTACATGAAGACCCATTGATATGTTCTTAGAAGACAACTGATTGCTGCTGTAGGTGTTGTAATGGAGCTGTATCTGATGTGCCTGAAATCAGACAGTGATAAGGACACTGTTGCACAGGTGTGCACCTGCCTAGCGGAAATCTACAGGCATCAGGACGCGAAAGCAATGGAACCTTGTAAGTCACATAGTTTGTTTTCTTTGGTTGTCACTAAACGCATTTCTTACAGTTTTCTTGCTCACATCGGAAGAGGTTTTGAAACTTCTACGGCAGGAAGCCACATGCCAGCGAACGGACGATACAGACGACGAGGACGATGGGCAGCTGGACACAGATCAAGCACTGATGGATGCGGTTGCAGACGTTCTACCAGCCATGGCAACCTGTATGGGCCCATCTTTTGAGCCGATATTTTCTCAACATTTTGAAGCCTTGATGAAGTTTTCGGTACAGTCTCTTTGCACGTAGCATGTTCTTTTGTTGTCTCACCTTCTGATTTTCAGAAAGAAAGCCGCGCTGCAAATGACAGAACAATGGTGATTGGATGCGTTGCGGAGATCGCTCGTGCGATTGGATCACAGATCATACCCTACATTCCAGTACGTATTGTTTTCTCCCTGTGCGTTCTGGAAAGTGGACTTTTGCGTGCAGCGAGTCATGCCAGTGGCTCTCCAAGAACTGAGGTCAGCCGAGGCAGCAAATCGTCGCAACGCTGCATATTGTGTGGGCCAACTGTGCAAGAATGGCGGTGTCAAAGCCGAGGAGTATGTCCAGCTTCATTGCTCTCTGTCCGGTGCTGATCCTTTAAAACTCCTCGCAGATTCTACGGAAGTGCTCTTGCGGCGTTGCATCCTTTGTTTAGCGAGGGAGAAGAGGACGTGGTGCGCGACAATGCAGCTGGAGCCGTGGCGAGAATGATCACGACTCAGTCGCAAGCTCTTCCTTTATCACAGGTACAGAGCGTTTTCTCTTTTATTTTTTTCTTTCTCGGGAAGTCAGCTTTGTCGACGCTGACACAACTGGAACCGTGTGTACAGGTCCTCCCAGTCCTCGTCCGAGCACTCCCTGTGAAAGCCGACTTGGAAGAGGCGACCGCTGTCTACACTTGCCTCAGCAATTTGATTCTAGCTTCGCAACCAGAGGTTGGTTTTCTTTAGTGTTTTTTTTCTCGTCCATCTCTCTTGTTTTCTCTGGATTGATGGAAGAGAAACAAGAGAAGTTGGATGGCGGCTTCTCTTGTCTGTTCTAAGCCTTCGTTTTCGCAGATTCTACCATTGGTGCCGCAAGTGCTGCCAATTTTCGCCAAGGTGGCCGCCTCCACCGACGAGCTCCCCGAAGAAGCGAAGGTGCTAATCGGGCGAGCGGTGGCACACTTGCTGTCCCATTATCGCGATGAGATGCAGCCTCTTCTCAGCAACATTCCAGCTGACCAAGCCAACGCACTGGCAGCGATCGTGAGGAAGATCTGATACGATATCAGGCAAGAGCTCTTCTTCTTCTTCTTCTTCTCTCTCTCTCTCTCTCGGTGAGGATTTTGTTTTCGTTCTCCTCCCCTCTTTCGATTTTTCGTGATCGATCGAGCCAGCTCTCCTCGATCACGCGAGTTTTGGCGTTGGATTATTTTTTTGGAATCGGGAACGAAAGTTAGCGAACTTAGCGTGCGGTTTATTCTGTTGGCACATTCCGTTTGTCATTTTGGATGTTCTGTTTGGCCCCTTTAAACTCTCGGCGTACCCGCCCTAGAGTTTAGATCGTTCCTCCTTTCTCGGATCTAGGCCGCGCGGCCGGGGTTTTGGAGCAGCGATCCATCGTTTTAGCTCGGCGCATCGGGTAGGATCGAAGGGAATTCCATGGCGCGCCCGACGCCGCTGCTCAAGGATGAGCTCGACATTGTGATTCCCACCATCAGGAACTTGGATTTCCTGGAAATGTGGAGGCCCTTCTTCCAGCACTACCATCTCATCATCGTCCAGGACGGCGACCCCAGCAAGCAGATCAAGGTGCCCGAGGGATTCGACTACGAGCTCTACAACCGCAACGACATCAACCGGATCTTGGGATCCAAGGCGTCGTGCATCTCCTTCAAGGACAGCGCCTGCCGCTGCTTTGGATTCCTCGTGTCCAAGAAGAAGTACATCTTCACCATTGACGACGATTGTTTTGTAAGTTCTTCCTTTTCTTTCTTGTTCTTGCTCGAGTTTGTTTGCTAGAGATTTGTTGCGAGCTCGAGAATTCTTGTTTTTCTTTGTTCGATTGGTCGAGTTTGGTTGCTAGATTTATGTCTAGATCTCTTGCGAGAGCTCTGAGCTCACAAATCCTGTTTTTATTGTTCGAGTGCTCGAGTTTCTTTGCTAGATTCTTCTTGCGAGAGCGCTGAGCTTTTTCTTTTCTTCGATTTCTTGGATCGATCTGTATGAGCTGAGCTGATTTTGCTTTTGCTTCTTTCCAGGTAGCCAAGGATCCGTCCAGCAAAGACATCAACGCGCTGGAACAGCACATAAAGAATCTCTTGTCTCCATCGACACCTTATTTTTTTAACACACTCTACGATCCATACCGCGAAGGCACAGACTTCGTCCGGGGATATCCTTTTAGTCTCCGAGAAGGCGTCCAAACGGCGATCTCTCACGGCCTGTGGCTCAACATCCCCGACTATGACGCTCCCACGCAGCTAGTCAAGCCATCCGAGAGAAACACAAGGTAACTTTTTCATTCTTCTGCCAAAAAAAAAGCTCTTTTTCTCGATGCTTCTTTAGATTCCAGAGATCTAATCGATTGTTTTTCTCTCGCAGATATGTCGACGCGGTCATGACGATCCCCAAAGGAACGCTCTTCCCGATGTGTGGGATGAATCTAGCTTTCAACCGGGAGCTCATTGGACCGGCGATGTACTTCGGCTTGATGGGCGACGGGCAACCGATCGGCCGCTACGACGATATGTGGGCCGGATGGTGTTGCAAGGTAAAAAAACCAACTTTGGTCGCACAAAAAAACCATCTTTCTTTCTTCTCATCCCGAGAACTTACACTGCATTGGCATGAATCAGGTGATCTGCGACCACTTGGGCTATGGAGTTAAGACCGGCTTGCCATACATCTGGCACAGCAAAGCCAGCAATCCATTCGTGAACCTCAAGAAGGAATACAAGGGGATCTTTTGGCAGGAGGAGATCATCCCCTTCTTCCAGTCGGCAGTGCTGTCCAAGGAGGCCACCAGCGTGGAGCAGTGCTACAGGGAGCTGGCCAAGCAAGTGAGGGAGAAGCTGAGCAACGTAGATCCATACTTTTCCAAGCTCGCCGACGCCATGGTCACCTGGACCGAGTCGTGGGAGGAGCTGACCAGTAACAAGATCGTGGCTGGCGGCGTCAAGGCTTCCAGCGGCGGCGTCCATCACGCCAATGGCCCGACCACGAAGGTGGCGTCGCCGCCACCGCCACCGCCGGCTGTGGTTAAGTCCGAAGAACTTGGAAGCCCCGCAGCGTAAAACTCTTCCCAAAAGTTTATTTAAAAAAATTCACATAGATCTTTGCTCAGGAAATTAAAATAATGTCGCGATATTTTCTTCGCCAAAATCTCGTCTTCATGGGAAGTTTTAAGTCTTCCCGAAAATTTCAATTTTGTTTTTTGCTCAGGAAATTAAAATAATGTAATTAGCATTAGAAAAACCCGGGAAAATCCCTAGCGAGCTTTTAGGTCATGCTAGCGCAGAGGATGGAGGCACTGGCAGGGCGGCTGTCCGGCAAGAATGTGAGTCTCCAATCCCTCCGCAGCAATCCCCTCGCCGGATCCCCGCGATCCAGCTCCACCTCCGCCCCCTCGGTGAGCGTCCGCGCCAAAAAGAAGGGCAACACCATCTCCGCCACGCTCTCCCTCACCGCCGCCACCGCCGCCACCGCCAGCGCCGCCAAGGACCGCGTGGACGTGCTCGCCGAGGCCCTGCCCTTCATCCAGCGCTTCCAGGGCAAGACGGTGGTGGTGAAATACGGCGGCGCCGCCATGAAGGACGAGACCCTCAAGGACGGCGTGATCAAGGACCTGGTCCTCCTGGCGTGCGTGGGGCTCCGCCCAATCTTCGTCCACGGCGGTGGCCCGGAGATCAACAGCTGGCTGGCGCGCCTGGGCATCCAGCCCCAATTCAAGAACGGGCTGCGCGTCACCGACGCCGCCACCATGGAGGTGGTGGAGATGGTGCTGGTCGGCCGGGTGAACAAATCCCTGGTGTCGCTCATCCACCAGGCAGGCGGCGCCGCTGTCGGGCTGTCGGGGATCGACGGGCGCGTCATCACGGCGCGCGCGTCGTCGGACCCCGGGCTGGGCTTTGTCGGCGAGATCTCGGCCATTGACACGGGGCTCATCCGCGGGATCGCGCGCGACGGGTTCATCCCGGTGATCGCGTCGGTGGCGGCGGATGGGAAAGGGCAGGCGTACAATATCAATGCCGACATCGCGGCGGGCGAGATCGCGGCGTCGCTGGGCGCGGAGAAGCTCATCCTCATGACCGACGTGCCGGGGATCCTCACGGACCGGCACGATCACTCGACGCTGGTGAGGCAGGCGGACATCAAGGGCGTGCGCGGGCTGGTCGATGGCGGCGTCGTCACCGGCGGGATGATCCCCAAGGTGGAGTGCTGCGTGCGATCGCTGGCGCAGGGCGTGCGCGCGGCGCACATCATCGATGGCCGCCTCTCGCACTCGCTGCTGCTGGAGATCCTCACGGACGAGGGCTCGGGGACGATGATCACCGGATGATCTTTTTCAAATCCAGAGATTATTCTAATCGAATATGCCTGCCCTGTTGCCCTAGCTTTTAGCAGCCCTAAAATCTTTCGCGCTTTCCCTACCGTACCCTTTTGTCCCAGATAAATACCATCCGTACACATAAAAGAATCGTCTATTCGTATTAATATGCTACAACCAATGGGAGGAGAGAATGAGAAGAGAGAGGAGGAATCAATCAATCGAACACTAAAAGAGAAAGAAAAGACTAAAAGGAAAGAAAAAGATGGTTCTTCCATGGTGGCTCGATCAAATCTTGTCGATCTTGCTCGCGATCACCACGGGGTTGGCCTTGGCGATGGCAATCCGGCCCTGGCTCTGGAAATCAAACTCGCAGCCGTGCTCGCTGGGGTATCGATGGGGGAAGCACAGCACCTTGCCGCAGCGGCACGTAACGCCCATGAGCCCGACCTTCCGCCGGCAGCACGAGCACCTGTCTGGGGCGGCGGGGGGCGGGCAAGATCCGCTCGATCCCTCGCTCGATCCCTCGCAGCAAGATTGGGGCAAATCCCTGGGAGCCGCCGCCGGCGAAGCCCGGGCCTTTGCCGACCCGGATGGAAGAATTGGCGCCGCGCCGCTGGAGATCTCCACCGCCATGGCCATCTTGGCGGAATCCCTGTAGCACTTGGAGCACAGATTCATGGTCGTCCCGTTGCCGAAGAAGCCGCAGTTGTTCGCGCATGGCACGGGCGCCTCCGCCGCGGCAGCCTGCTGGTAATCGTCCTGCTGCGCCATGGAAATCGAGAAATCGAGCGAGACCCAAGTGAGATGCTGCCCGCCCGCACGCACCCAATTCACAGATCCTCGCGATTCGGCGCTCTGTCGCCCTGTCCAGTCGCGAGCCCACTTCTCTCTCACCGGTGAGACGCTCTTCGCGGAGAAGAAGCGAAGAACCGCTACTCTAACACTAACAATTTTGCCCCAAAAAATGTGAGGTGTGGCGATGGCTTTATACCAATACCAGCATTGGGCGGCGCACGCGTGGAGGGAAAAAAAAGCAAGCAAGAGAGAGAAGGGGGGCGACGCTAGAGCTCCCCGTCACGCGCCCGTCACGCCCGTCGCTTTCGGAACAGAACCTACGTGGCGATGGACGGTGCCGGGGCTGCCGCGTGGCGGCCGGTGACCAATTCAACGGCGGGATTCGCTTGCCGCGGATCTCCGTAATCTCCACTTCGTTAAGATATCAATCGTCTGGTTTGGCAAGAGTGGTGTGTTCTGTAGTGAAACACGTCTTCCACTTTTTTTTTTTTACTTACGCGAGGTTTCAAAAAGTTTGATCGCCGCTGCTTGACCCTGTCCCTGTTGGAATGCCAATCGAGAACAGTGAGCTGTGAGCGTGAGAGAAATCCCATCTTCTCGGGGAGTTTCTCATCCTTATCGTTTCGTTTTTAAAGCCGCGCATCGGATCTGATAAGACCAAAAGCAACCGATTTTCAGCTGCTGGAACCGAAACAAACGAGAAGAAAAGAAAAGCAAAGAAAAGAAAAAAAACTGACACTCAACTGACCTGTGACACGGACTTTGTTTGCCTCGATCACTGCTGCTGCTGCTCTTCGTTTGTAGTTAAAGCTGTGGCTTTTCAGTCGCCCCCTCCCTGTTCCTCCTGTGTTTCTACTATCCACCTAAACTAGAAACTAAGAGCCTCCTCCATGTCAAAAACCTTGGCATCGCTTTCACTCCGACAGGCCACCCGAGCTCTGCGAGAGCGGAGACGCACCGTTTGGTGTTACTGCTCCACCGAAAGCGCTCTGGCTGAACGACTCGTTGCTCGAAGTGCAAACCATTGCCCCCATTCCCACGGTCACCTCGTCGGTATCCGAGTCCACATCCACCACCGCCATCGTCGCCGGCGGCGAGCTCTTGGTATCGGCTCCGCCGCTCGTCTCCTCCAGCACCTCGTACCACGAGCTGACATGGCTGTTTAGCGTCCCATTGTTCTCCCTTGCCACGATGATCTTCCTCTTTTTGCTCGCTTCCAATGCCTGGTCCCTGGAGCTGCTGTTCACCGCCAGCCTGCTCATGGTGTTCTTCAAGTTCAGCTTGCTGGCGGTGGAGTTTTTCGCTGCTGATGCTGCTTTCGTTGACCTCTTCGCGCTCAAGGATGGCAGAATCGGTGGCGGGGCGCCGGAACCAGTCCGGATGTAGTGCACAACCGGAGAAGCTCTTCCTCCCGAGCTGTTCTTCATGTTTGGCTTGGGTGTGCTCGGTGAGCTGAGTATTGTTGGCGGGCGAATGTGAACCACATTTTTCGCCTTCATGAAAGATGCCGCGGCGGACGCAGGAGCTATCCGTGCTCCAGCCGCAACAGCTGCTGCTTGAACCATTGGATCGGGTCCCAGAAGAGCCCGGTTGGGCATGGAGTTCGTCCGAGCTAGATTACTTGGTTTTACTGCCGGCGACTGTGACACCGACGGTGGTGGTGAGACCTGTACCGATGAAACGCACGTAACTTGTTGGTTTGTCACAACCGAGAGCTTTTGAGCGTTGGTAGTCACTAGAGCCGTAGGCTTGGGCTTGGCTGGCGTGGTGCTCGGGCTCGGTAAACTTGTCCGGCAAACAGCTGGAGTTGGAGATGTGAGCTTTCTCGGCATCGTAACGCTTGCTTTTTCCGTCCGCACTTGTGTCGATTGTACTGCGAGGAAATTGTTCAATGCACCAGAGAAGAGAACATGGAAGAAAATAAACGTACATTGCTTTGGTAGACTCGTTGGCGGAGGTACCACGGGATGCACGGGAAGCCCCGGGATTCCGTTCTGCTCACAAAGCTCCGAAAGAACCTTTGGCTTTTTCAGGCCTTGTTCGCACTGTTGTCCTGGTCCCTGTCTCGCTGGAGCTGCAATAGCTGGTGGAGGAGCAGTAGTCTCGCGTCGCCTCTTTATCAGCGCCCACCGCTAGCAGATTATCTACATTGTCAGAAGGCATCCAATTTAAAAAGAAGCAAAGAGATCTCTACGTACTTGCGCTAGCTGTGTCGCAGTCCTCTCGTGTTTGAAGACGCTTTTGACAATGGCAGCCCAGTTCCCCTCTCCATACTTTTCCACGCCGGAAACAAGCTCCTCGTCCTCTTGTGCCGTCCAAGGCTTGCGCTTCGTCCGGTATGAATCCAAGCCCGCAGCTTGAGCGCTCGAAAAGCCAGGATATATGGACGTGAGGCCCAACGCAGTCGAGTCGGCATTCGCAAACGCTATGTCTGTGGAGAACCCCATCAAAGCCTGCGAAAAATCACAACCTCAGTGCGAGAAGATCAAGGAGATAGCCAAAGAGAGAGAAAAAAAAAAACTCTTCGAGAGTTCTTACATTGACATAGCTTGCAGCATCAGCTGATGCTTCCGAAGAGACGCTCGGGAAAGCCTCGACATCGAATTCCAGATCACTGTCATCGTCCTGGAAAAACCAAGGTAAAAAAAGAAAAAAAAAATTCGACACTCAGGTGAGAAAACCTGGCAATAAGATGAGAGATCGAACCTCCAAAGGGAGCTCTTCTCCGTCGGGATCGAGCTCCTTGCGATAGGCGAGATGCCGCCACAGTGCCTGGTACTCGCGCGCATTCTTGATCCCGGTATTGGAATCCTTGACGATCTCGTCCCAGCTCACGCGCCCGCCGGCTTGCTTGGAGACCTCGTACAGCAGCGACAGGATCGTGCTAGAATCATACCTGCGACCGAAGAAGAAGATCCATAAACCCTAAACCCCCGGAGAAAGACCGCGCCACGAGAACCAAGGCGGCGAGATACCTCTTGAGCAGCAGCGTCACATCGCCCTCCGCGATGAAGCCCTTGCGCTTCATCCAAACCGAGCTCTTCCTTTGCCCTGGAAATCGATTCCCCCGAATATGCTTCGTTAGAACTTTGCCGCTAGAATATACCCCACTTTTGAAAACCCGAACGGTCAGCGACGGTCGTCGCCGTTCAATACCGGTCATCCCGTGAACCTCGGAAGAACAGCATTACTTTTATTCACGCGTAGAGAAACATATAATTAATCGAGCGGTGGAAGAAGGCTTAGATAGGATGGAAAGATCCAAAAACTTGGGAGTAATCGCAAGCGCCTGCGAATTCTCCCTAGCAAGGGGCGAATCCGCCGCTGCTCGCCTTCCTCTTGATCGGCGCGGCGGCGTAGAGATCGAAGATGTCGCTGAGCGCGCTGCGCAGCAAGCTCCCGGGCACGATCAGATCCACCAGCCCGTGCTCGAAACAGTACTCGGCGGTCTGGAAGTTCTCGGGCAATTTCTTGCGCAGCGTCTGCTGGATCACGCGCCCGCCCGCGAACGCGATGTAGGCCATGGGCTCGGCCATGGCGATGTCGCCCAGCATCCCAAAGCTCGCGGTGATCCCACCCGTGGTGGGATTCGTGAGAATCGGGATGTAGAGCAGACCCTTTTGGATCTGGTGGACGTCCAGCGCCGCCGAGACCTTGGCCATCTGCATGAGGCTGAGCGTGCCCTCTTGCATCCTCGCGCCGCCGCTGGAGCACACGATCACGAGCGGGAGCTCCAGGCGAGTGGCGTGCTCCACCAGGCGCGTGATCTTCTCGCCCACCACGCTGCCCATGCTACCGCCCATGAACCGGAAATCCATCACGCCCAGCGCGATCTTGGTGCCCATGATCTCGCCCAGCCCCGTCTGGACCGCGTCCGTGAGCCCGGATCGCTTGCGGTAGCTCACCAGGCGCGTCGCGTAGTCCTCGTCGTCGCGGAAGCCCAGCACGTCCTTGGCCACCATGGTCTCGTCCAGGGGCGCCCAGGTGCCCGGATCGAGCAGGAGGTCGATGCGATCGCTGCTGCCGCGGCGGAGGTGGTAGCCACACTCGTGGCAGATCCGATTGGGGATGCCGGTGTCATCGTCGGACCGGGCGTAGAGCATGGCGCCGCAGGCATCGCAAACGTCCCAGAGGCCCTTGATCATGTTGTTCCTGGCCAGGACGCCGCTGCCGCCCTCGACGATCTTGCTGCCCATCTTGTTGAGGAGCGTGGAGGCCCTGTCCATGACCCAGCCCAGCGATCCACCGCCGCCACCGCCACTGCCGCTGCCGCCGCTGCCACCGCCACCGCCGCCGCCGCTGGAGCTCATGCTGGTGATGGCGAGCGCCGGATTGGGGCGTACCTGGAGGAGCATCGTCGTCGCCATCGCCGCCATGGCTCCTCGATCGATCGCTCGATAACGAGGAAGAAAGAGAGAGAACCCTCGGTGCCCCTGACCTCACATTTCCAGTTTAAAAGCCCTTTTAATTTAATGGATGCCGTTAATTCTAGGGCTTCTTTATTAACGCCAATTTTTGTTCGCTAGATCTTTGCAAGAGTCTTGCAATTTCCATGTAATCCAGGTCCACCACCAGGCTCTTGATTGGGAAGGGAGATTGTTTTTACCTTGCTAATTTAGATATTATTTCCCAACCATGTAAAGAGAACCAACCTGCAGAACATATAGGAACATTAAAAAGAAGTGAGAAACGAAGAACAAAGCTTGAATGAATTCCACTGCACACCTCTTGCATCAATCCTTTTCGGAAGTTTGGACTTCACTGTAAAACGGTTCCAAAGAGAGATTCTTATGTATTTTAAAAATGCTTTCTTTCATTTTTCTCGTAGAGCATTTCCGCTCTGTACCTGTGGCAAAGATTATTAGTATACAATGATAGATACAAAACATACCCTATGAAACTAGCAAACAAAGCTTGTCTCTTGGCTTCCAGCGCAACCCTTGCTTGTCACACAACCAATTCTTTTGCAGCAACATGGCATTAGTTCTTTGGCCGACTGTTCTGCTGCTGCTTCTGCATTTGCCAGCTTCAACCCCTGTGCCGTTGCATCCATCCCCTCCATCTGAGCAGCCTTGCGTTTAGTAGCATTAGCGGCAGCCGCAGCTGCTTTTCGGACTGCTGTTTAGATATTCTTTGTGCCGGGTTTAAATTTCATTAGAGACATGCAGTTATTCCTCTCCACTTGCCATCATCTTCTTCCAGAATTCAACAAAGTGAAATACAAACTTTGTCATCGTGATGCCTCCCGAATTATGTTACTTGATCACGTGGTCAATGAACTTGTTCAGACTGCGAAACTCGATCCTAAATAATAGATGAGAAGTTCTGCAAGCTCATGGGAGCAGCATTCTCCCAACCTTCTCATGGTCATGCCAATAAGCTGCTCTTGGAAACTTGTGGTAAGCTATAAAGTGTTCCCTTAGGCCGAGCCTCTAACATGTTATAGACCATGTCTGCTTCCATTTCTTTGGAACCAACCAACCACAAACTAAACTGTTGATGAGAATCAGTTGCTTTTTTGTCTGTAGGCTTCATCCTTCGTGAGTGTGTCTGCATTGTCAATGACCAAGACCAAAAGGCAAAGTTGTGCTCCTATGTACCTCCACCACTTCCAGCACCATCCTGCTCTTAAAATCTGCTCCCTACCTATGGGCTTCCCATTATGTGGTGTTGATATATTTGTACTCCAATGTAGTGTATGTATTCATGTTGAAATACATGATAGCTCTCCCTCTTCAGTGAGTACACATGTTGTCTTGCCCAACCCTGGCTTCCCATCATTCAAAACAAGCCTTGGTTTACTGTTCATGATCTTAAGAAAATCTTCATGCTCTACCTCAGACATATCTACATATACCATTGGTTTCTTAGGGGGTGGCAAATCTGGGTATTCTGAGAACAATAATGTGCAAATTACACATGGTCTTTCAAACTTTACTTTGCACCGAAATGCAAAAGACTGTGGAGACCCAAAACATTGCACAAGACAAAGCTGGTGTGATAAGTGGTGACAAGCTTGAAAAAACTAAGAAAAATTAGTTTAAAGGAATTGCCAAACTCACTTCACAGAAAATTCACTGCAATATGAGCATGGGAGTGCTAGTTTAAATAAAATTAATAATTTTAATAATATTTAGATCTGTATATCTAATATTAGTGGCAATAGTTGCTATTAAATAGAGGTTTTTTCTTATCAAAATATTTAAAGAAAAATATTATTTTAATATTTAATAATTAGTTTGTATACTAATTATTTTATGATTTAAATTTATATTAAATTTTTATTATTACAAGAAAATCCCTTTGAGTGTAATTACAAGAAATGCCCTATGTTATTTTAGATGTAATTCATAAATAAAAATTTATTTATATTATTATAAATTTGAATACAATACTAGTATATAATTCTTTTTCAATGTTATGAACACCTTATGTTTGGTGATGAATCCAAATTTTAACATTTGGATCTATCGTAAGAAATATATAATATACAAAATATATATGGTTGTAAGGGATGAAAGACTTACAAAAATTTTGATATTGAAGGAAATATGTGCAAACTTGTGAATTAGAGTTTATTGTGATGTTGTAGATCCATAACTAAGTATTGTACATTCATAATAACAATATTTTTGTTTGATGTTAACACTTTTAACTTTCAATTGTAATGCTTTTAAGTATGTTGCCCTTTAACTAATTATTTAATTTTCACATTGTGAAACATAAATCCTCATGCTCCAAATGGAGCTGAAAGAGTGCCACATAGTTGTGGTCAAAGTGGAAGTCTAACAAACATAATACATTTAGACCAAAAACTCCGAATCAGAAAGTTATGAGAGGGAGTGGAACTCCTAAAGAAATGCTCAAGAAACGAATACAAAATTACTAATGAATAAATCTTTAGAAAAGGACATAAGAGGGATTGACACATGGTAAATGTCATGAGATGGGGAAGTGTTGGGATTAACTCCAAGATGGAGTCTAAAAAAGAGTCCGAGATAGATTTTGAGATGAGGACTGAGATCAAAATTGAGATTAAGACTTGTCAAGACCCCCAACAAGATCAAGACTGGAAAATGCAAAAGACAAAGAGAAAAACTAGTGGAAACAAAGAAAAGGCCTTAAATTGGTGTTGATTCAGATTGTGGAGAAATGAAACAAGGCTAATTTATATATACTATAGGTTGATAAAGCTCCACCACTCTTGGATCGAGGACAGCCTAAATATAGCTGAGGTCGAGGAGGCGCCACATCATCATCAGGAATGTGGCTCAAGACTCAGGAATTGTACAGGAAATCAGAGAATTAGGAATAGGGAAAAGTCTCGAGAGTCAGGAATAGGGAAGTGTCTCGAGAATCAGGAATATGGTCTGCAGGTCAGGAATCCAGCGAGATTCAGGAATGTGGTATGAATTGGGGGATTCCTAACAAGACCGAGACTAAGACCAAGACCAAGTCTAAGTTTGAGATCAAGTTTGAGTCTAAGTTCAAGTCTGAGTCCAAGTCCGAGTCCGAAAGTGAAAGCCCAAAGTAATCATCTCTCAAACCTTGGAGGGTTTAGTGAGCTCCAAAAGGATAGTAGGGGGAGGACTCTAATGGAACCAGTTTGGCCAAAAAAGGTTAGTGTGATCAAGGAAGGCTATACCCATGTGGTAAGTGTTGATATAACCACTGAGGAGTCCAAAACTAAAGTGAAAATCAATGGATAAATGGGATAACTTGGTGAAATGTTTAAGAGTTGGCTTTAGCTCATTCGAGAGATCAAAAGGTCAATACTCCCAATCCAAGTGTGGGTGGCACTACCTACTTGGATATTTGATATGACTCATCAAAACCTCACTTTAACTACATGGCTAGGACATATAAAGGTAAAAGGTGGGGAGAGTACGTATGAGATTCGCATAGGGCCACAGTGTTTTAAAATGTCATTCCAAAGTCTCAAATTATGGAAAGGAAGAGGAGTAATCCTCTTGGGTAGTGATTGAGGATACGATCACATTATATGGAAGTCCTAGAGGTCAGTGGGACTTAATGGTTAAATCTTCAAGATTTGACCTTGTGG